CGAATATGGCACTCATTTCTAAATCCAAGATGGCGGACACGAGTTTTCAAATAAATGCAATATGGGTATCATTTTCGAGGTACTTGGGGCTGCTCATTACGAATATGGCACTCATTTGTAAATCCAAGATGGCGGGCACGATTTTTTCAAAAAAATGCTATGTGGGTATCATTTTCGAGGTATTTGGGGATGCTCAATGTAAATATGGCACTATTTGTAAATCCAAGATGGCGGGCACGATTTTTCAAATAATGGCAAGTTGGGTATCGTTTTCGAGGTATTTGGGGGTGCTCATTACGAATATTGCTTTTGTTTGAACTGTCGTGTTTGCCATCTTGGATTTAGAAATGAGTCCCATATTTGTATTGAATATTCCCAAACATCTCGAGAACGATACCCAACTTGCCATTATTCGAAAAATCGCGCCCGCCATCTTGGATTTAGAAATAAGTGCCATATTCGAAACCTAAAACCGAAAATGCCATAAGCAAACATTAAAGAAAATAACTGTTAAAATAGATTAAAAAATCGCTTAAGAATGCTCCCCTTTTAAGAAAATAAAATATTTTAATATAAAATATTTCGCTTGAGTTACGAAAAGAAAGACATATAATAAGCTATCAAAGTTGTACTGGTGGTGCCAACACTATAGTAGAAACAAATATATACTGTAAATTTGTTGCAATATGTGCTCCAATTCAAATAAAATTAAAATAAATAATTATTCAATAAAACATGAACGCAGAGCCGTTAAAAGTATTATAAAATAATTAAGTGTCCCAATCACTTACAGGAGTTAACGAAAACATTTAATGTTTATTCAAGTAAATATTAGTTCAAGATGCGCAAATAAATCGAAATTACAGGCACCACTAAAATTTACGTAATATAATTATTTTTATACAGAATAGCAAAATGGGGAGAAAAAAAATTCGTTACTTTGCAACACTTTCGTATCTTGTTGCCGCGAAATTATTTTTCTGTTTTAGTGAATATTTACATAAAAATATGAGTTGAAACGCATTACTTACTTGTGGAATGCGATGTTAGTGTCTATTTTGTTTGTCTGTTGTATTTTTACACCCATTTACCGCACATTTCGTCATTTTTAGCAAAAAATTTTGAGAGCTGTTCGCGGTGCAATATGACCTTGAGCACTAACAGCCCGCGCGCTCCTGGGACGCGTTTGGAACCCTCTAACTTGCCTCACTTAGCGTGTGCGGGCTAGGTTTCTATGCGTTATTATTCTAAGGTTATATTATGTAAGGCTGCAAAGTTGTGTTGTTGTTTGACGTGAGTGTTTGTTTTGAAACCAGTGCAAGCAAAGGATCCTAAGATTGAATTGGAGGCTCAAAAATACAATTCTGAGCGTAGCGAGAGTTTTAAGCCAAGAGAGGCAAAACAACTTTGCTGCCGAGCGAAACACACAATTTTTCACCTCTATAGCGAGAAAAATGGTACATGAAAGAAAAAGAGTTGAACTGTTACAGATTTGGGACCAACTTTGAACCTAAACAAGTCTGTTTCGTTTATTCGTGGCATGGCGTCCTAACAACGATCATGTCAACAGCATTTACGGCAACGCCAAACCATAGCCTAAATTGAGCCGCAACTCCTTAGAATTCTATAACTTTCATTCATTTTTCGTACCATGACGTGCTATTTGACATTAGTTGATTCAATGTTGGTTCGCTGTAATATCATAAAATTCGGATCAAAGAAAGTTGCTCATTGGCAAATGAAAGAAATAAGATAAGATTTATGTGAGTATTTTTTATATTTAATCTGCTTTTAAATACTTATGACCTCGTATTGTGTTATCCAAAATAGAACCCATTTTGTTTTTTAGATTTTGTCAGAAATTCAAGAAACCTGGCATATTGGGTAGCATTGATGGCACTCACATAACATCTGTTGGGCCCAATGACAATGAAGAAGGATTTTACAGTTGCAAGCAGTATCACTCTTTATAAGTTCAGCTAGTTATTATGGACTTGATAAAATTAACCTAAAGTTAGGGCTAACTTGTTATTTCATAAATACTTAATTTCAGATGTGATGCTGATACGAATATCACTAGTATAGATTGTACTAGTATATAGTATTATACATATATTTTTTTTTTTTTTAATTTATTGTAAACATGTTTACACGGCATTACAATTCCATAACCAATGCGCCGTGAAACCAAACTAATTAAAAAATAACAATAAAAAAATTAAAAAAAAAAACCAAACACTGAAATAATAAATTAAACTATAGCGCTATACTTGACTCACTATCATCCATCGCTTCACAAAATCTCAGGCATTCACAACACACAGCCGCCCATCGCCATGCAAACAGATCACACTCCGGTGCTGATGCCAAGAGTTGATTGAGCATTGCGAGGGCACGGAGCAGTGGTGAGTTCCTGCGCGATACGGTACGCACCGGTGGGACTGTGAATAGTTCACGACGTCGCGCTCTTAAAACTATCTTAGGAACGTCTGGGACAAAGAGCTTTACAAGCTGTCCCACTAGCTCAGGACAGTCTGACTCGCCGCGTAATACCTGAGAAACAAATACCAGCAGATTGTTGTTCCGCCTCACCTCAAGGGAATTATACTGAAGAGTCCCCAGTAAATACTTTGTCGGATACAAAAACGGATAATAGCCGTACATTTTTTGTAGAAAAATCTAAGGAAAGCTTTTTGAACCTTTTCTATCAAAGATGTATACGTAGCTTCATGCGGGTGCCATATAAGCGATGACGTCTTAAGTTTGCTTCTCACTAAAGCATTATAGACCATTCGTATAGCACCAAAATCTTGAAAGTCTTTGACGTTGCGGATCACAAAGCCCAGTCTTCGAAAGCAGTCGGCAGCAAGTGTCACGACATGGTCGTGAAAAGTGAGGCGCGAGTCAAAGACCACACCAAGATCCTTTATAGAAAAAACGCGGTTAATTGGATCAGTCCCAAGCACATATTGCATATGTAACGGAGCACGTGAACGGCTAAAAGTGCAGACAAAACATTTCGCTGGATTGAAAATGAGCTTGTTATCCACACTCCATTGGAACACAGCATTGACGTCTCTTTGTAAAGATTCACAATCGGCTGTGTGCTCCACCCCATACACTAATTTGAGGTCGTCAGCATAAAGCAGACAACGAGCGCTCTTAAGAACTGATTCCAGGTCATCGATCATTAAATTAAATAAGAGGGGACCCAGGACTGAACCCTGGCTAACGCCGGATCGAGTATGATATGGAGCCGAGACGAAACATCCATGCCGAACATATTGTTGTCGATCACGTAGATAACTAGCAAAAAGTTTAACCATCTTAGGGGAGAAGCCAATTCGATCTAGCTTGCTTAGAAGCACGTCGTTATCTACACGATCGAAGGCTTTTTTAAAGTCGAAATAGAGAACGTCAACCTGGATACCCCTGTCTAGATGATCAGAAATTATGTCGACTAAAACCAATAGATTTGTATTAACAGAGCGATTTGACCTAAAGCCATGTTGCGAGTCACACAAAAAAGGCTTAATTTGTGGGGTTAAGGCCCGATGGAGTACAGATTCAAATAGCTTGGCTAGAGTTGACAGAACAGCTATTGGCCTATAGTTCTCTACATTGTCAGTATCACTCAACTTCGGGATTGGTCTTACCCTCGTGAGTTTCCAGCGCTGCGGATATATTCCAGAAGAGATTGCTAGATTAAAGATAAAATGTATAGGGATTTTAAGCTGTTCCTTACACCCCTTTACAACATATGCAGGCAGGTTATCAGGCCCTACCGAGCAATTACTTTTAAGACGTCTTATAGCCATCTCTACTTCCTCCATGGATATATATGCAATATTAATATAGTTGGCACTGCAACTCTGACTGTTCGCACTTAAAAGATTTGGATCGAGATGGGGAATATCAGTTAAGAATACTCCAGAGAAGAAACTTGAAAACGCACTAGCTACCTCACTACCAGTAAACTGTTTCCCTTCAAATTTCACACGAGATACGAAGCCGCATCTTGACTTCAGACTATTCAGGTGTTGCCATTAAGCACGTGGATTGTCTTTTACTATGACCTGGATTCGACTAATGTAACAATCATAGGCGGACGATATTTGTTTTTTCACGTCAGACCTAACTTTGGCAAACTTAGAGTAAATAGATTTACTGTCAGTGGACTTCCATTCTCGGTGAAGATTGCTTTTGCGCTTCAGATCTCTGATTAAGTCTGCTGTGAACCAAACTGGGTAGCATC